TTGGTAGACTGTTTGGTGAGTGTGTTGGTAGACTGGTTGGTGAATATGAAGCCCATCTACCACACGAGGGCAGTCAGGCGACATGTAACCTGTACACTATCAGTCAAAAATACTTTAAATGGGGATAAAAGTATTGTTTCAGCACACACACACACACACACACACACACACACACACACACACACACACACACACACACACACACACACACACACACACACACACACACACACACACACATACACACAAGTGAGAGATATGGAAAATGGGTAGACTTGGGATTAGGTCCTCACGTAATTTTCAGGCACATATCATTTATTTCTCTCTCCTCTGCTCCAGTAAATACATATTTAGGGCTGTAAAGCGTTTTGCATAATTTAAATGCTTTATTGGCACTTTTCTGGCCGTAAATGACCTTTGTATCTGTTCTAGCTCTGATATATCTCCTGCCCTGAGCGGAACTGTCAACACTGAACAATACTCTGAGCGATAGAGCACAAGCGATTTGAATAGTGTGACCATTGGCGCTACTTCCATTTTTAAGTTCTTATTATCCTCCATTTTTAAGTTCTTATTATCCCTCCATTTTCCTGATTTTGTGATATTTGCCTTAAGGTCAACTGACATTAGTATACGAGATCCTTCACATGTTCCTATCGTTTATTTGGCGATCTTCATGCATTCTGTACACAGTGTCTCCTTTGATTTCTCCATTCTTTCCATATCTAAGCAGTTGGAACTTTTCACCACTGACCATCATGTTATTCTCCACCGTCCACGGGAAGACTTTGCTCAAATCTTCTTGCAATATTTTGTGGCTTCTACCTAGGTGATTTTAATGCTTATTTTAGTCTCATCTGCAAATGACAGTTCAAAACCGTGGCGAGTGTTCTAATCTGTGTCTGGTGTGAGAATAAGAAATAATAGAGGAGTCAAGACCGTGCCTTGGGGTACAGAGTTTTTTTTTTACTGTGCTAATGCTGGATTTGCTCTGTTTACCAAAGCTCTTTGTGTTCTGTATGTGAGAGAGTTGAAAATCAGTTTGCTTACTTTCCAAACATTGCTAGCATTAGGAAACTTTCATCGGGAAACGTCACACTCACCAAGACCTTTATATTATACTGCAATTTATTGGAGTCATGAACGTGATGAATTGGATTGCTAGAGGTCTAGGTGAGCAAAACATTGGATTGGTGAAGGTCCTGATGAGCGAAACGCTTCGCAATAGAAATTTTATACTCTTACAAATGTGAATGATTTATAAATTTGTGGGTATTATACAGCTTTTGCGAAACATACCTGATGATGAACAAAAACGCATTATACCATGACAGGAACAATACACAAATAACTCACACATATCAGAAAAAACCTTCATTCATAAGCTTCTTTCTCCTATGAAAGAAGTTTCTTTCTCCTACGTGCGGGTTGTGTATCATCCCTGATGATACAGAAGCACGAGTGTGACGTTCATCTTATATCAGTATTTGGGTATTTTACCCAAATGTTAATTGAAGATTGAACTAAATACATGAATGTCTCTTGAGGATGACATTATTAAAGCTCCCCCAAACTTTGTTAATTCACCAACCACAGTGGTTCACGCTTATTAACAATACCAGCATTAAGCGGTGAAAAAAACAATGAATCCTGTTTAACGTTTTGCACTCTGGTGGGATTACTGGCTTCTTGTTAGTGTCACACGAACACGCAAGGTGAAAGGTAAATTTTACCAACATCTACTTACATTCACTACGCATTTATCTTCACTTATGTGTGGATTAATAGTTCTTAGTCCCGTAATATTGCCTTGCATGTAGGAGCCCTGAGCAGCAACGGGGCCACGGGGGCGATGATCCCTGAGGTCATCAGCAGAGATAAAGTGACGCTAAGACAGTTTATTAAAGAAAATGTTTAGTGTGCCCCGAGCAGCCAGTTTCAGTGGCACTCAGGCACCTTGCCACCCACCGTCTCCAATCACCGCCTCAGCGCAGCATCAGTTTCTTAGTGTTAAATATCGACACGGTGGGAAAAAGGAAACCAGAAAAATGCACTAAAATGCCATTCTTTATTTGTCTGCACTCATGTGTCTTTTCACCATCATTTTGTTACCTTAAAGGAAGCAAGACAGGTGCACGTATTGCACACCAAGACTCGAAAGTGAGCGAAACGTGTAATATTTTTTCTTCTGTTGTGGGGGGAGAGAGAGAGAGAGAGAAAGGAGAGAAAGAGAGAGGAGAGAGAGAGAGAGCGCATGCTTGTTGTACACTGGTCGTGTATTTTTAGCCGAAAGAGGAAGTCTTTTGAAGTGTTGGTATGAAGCGTGTTACTTATTTGTGTATACCTGTGTATTTTATGCTCAGTAATAACTTATATGGAGACAGAACCATTATCTAATTATTATCTATTATATATTATATATATATTATATATATATATATATATATATATATATATATATATATATATATATATATATATATATATATATATATATATATATATATATATATATATATATATAATAAACACCAGTACTCTAAAGTGAGTGTAACAGCACCTCCCCAGTAGCACCTACTCAAACAGCGTCCCTAAGGAGCTCCTTCCTCCAGCAGCACCTCCCCAGAATCCTTCCCAGCAGCACCTCACCATCACCTCCCTCCAGCAGTCAGCATGTACACTGGTAGGGAGCACCTGTCTTGCCTACCTCACCCAGGTGAATCCCTCTACTTTAAGCTCCTCTGTGCCCCAGCCTCTCTCTCCCTTCCCCTCCCTCCTTTACCCTCACCCTGCCAACCCCTCCCTTACCCTGCCCTTCCCTACCTAACCCCTCACCCATCACTCACCTCTTACCTTTACCCTCACCTTCCCACTTTTACCTTAACTATCACATATCACACCACAGCGTAGCTCAGTGGTGAGAGAAACTGACTCACAATCGCAAGGACCAGTGTTCAACTCCCTGCCTGAAAGAAACAATGTGGGGGAGGGAGGGAGTTGAACACTGGTCCTTGCGATTGTGAGTCAGTTTCTCTCACCACTGAGCTTCTGCGCTACCAGAGGTGCTCAGGCAACTCCCGGTGGCATTCCTGCGGTGCTGGTTGCTACCAGAGGTGCTCACATAACACGTGAATTAGATACATAATATCTCAATTAGATACATGTGCAACACCTGAGTATCTTTACTTGAAATAAAAACACCCCAGGTGTTGCACATGTGTCTAATTTATTACTTTGTTATTATTATATACCATTATTGAATATCAAAATGGTATACAATACCAACAGGTTGGTAGGTAAGACACATAGGCAACAGTTAAGCAACTTTATTCCTAAACGTTTCGCCTACACAGTAGGTTTCTTCAGTCGAGTACAGAAAGTAGGGTGATGGACTGATTACATCGTCTACTGCTCCTGCCTACTTTCTGTACTCGACTGAAGAAGCCTACTGTGTAGTCGAAACGTTTCGCAAAAAAGTTGCCTAACTGTTGCCTATGTGTCTTACCTACTATATACCATTATTGAGGTCGTAACACGTACCTTTGTCACAATGAGAAGCAAAGGTGACATTGTCACATTGTCACAACTCTTCTCTGGGAGTGTGACGTAGCTGGTGTGTGTGTGTGTGTGTGGACTCTTGGACTGATCACTGCTATAACGGAGACTCTAGTACTGGTATGATCCAGTACATTGTACTGGTATAACGGACGCCCCGGTTACTGGTGTATCCAAAGACATGGCACTGGTGTATCCAAGGATATGGCACTGGCGTATCCAAGGATATGACACCGATGTATCCAAGGATATGGCACTGGTGTGTCCAAGGACGTGGTAATGGTATGTCCAGGGACATGGCACTGGTGTATCCAAGATACTGGTGTATCCGTGGCACTGGTGTATCCATGGCACTGGTGTATCCATGGCACTGATGTATCTTAAGGACTTGGTACTGGTGTATCCAAGGGACTGGTGTATCCATGGCACTGGTGTGCTCGAGGACATGGTACTGGTGTATCCGAGGATATGGCATTGGTGTGTCCGAGGATATGGTGCTGGTATATCCATGGACATGGCACTGGTATATCCAAGGACATGGCACTGGTATATCAAAGGACATGGTACTGGTATATCCAAGAAGATGGTACTGGTGTATCCAAGGACATGGTACTGGTGTGTCATGGTGCTGGTGTGTCACGGCAGTGGTGTGTCATGGCACTGGTGTGTCATGGCACTAATGTGTCATGGTACTGGTGTGTCATGGTACTGGTGTGTCATGGCACTGGTGTGTCATGGTGCTGGTGTCATGGCACTAGCGTGTCATGGCACTGGTGTGTCATGGCACTGGTGTGTCATGGTACTGGCGTGTCATGGCACTGGTGTGTCATGGTAGTAGTGTGTCATGGCACTGGTGTGTCATGGCACTGGTGTGTCATGGTACTTGTGTGTCATGGCACTGGTGTGTCATGGTACTGTTGTGTCTTGGTACTGGTGTGTTATGGTACTGTTGTGTCTTGGTACTGGTGTGTCATGGTACTGTTGTGTCTTGGCACTGGTGTGTCATGGCACTGGTGTGTCATGGTACTGTTGTGTCTTGGTACTGGTGTGTCATGGCACTGGTGTGTCATGGTACTGGTGTGTCATGGCACTGGTGTGTCATGGTACTGGTATGTCATGGCACTGGTGTGTCATGGTACTGGCGTGTCATGGCACTGGTGTGTCATGGTACTGGCGTGTCATGGTACTGGTGTGTCATGGCACTGGTGTGTCATGGTACTGGTGTGTCATGGCACTGGTGTGTCATGGCACTGGCGTGTCATGGCACTGGTGTGTCATGGTACTGGTGTGACCGAGCCCCGTGTATTGTTGTGGTTGGGGGGTGGAGGTCAGTAGAGGTTTTGGCACAGTCAGAGCCAGGACGAACAGGGTGCCACTAAGGGTCTAGTGCCAGTGAGATGAAGGGTTGGTGACTCTTCAGTAACGCAGTACCCTTCCATTTACAGATAAACTCATTAGTGAAAGTATAACGAACACAACGTTCTATCGACTCAGCAACTAATCAGCAGTTTGTTTTTAAAGTGCAGAAACACCAGTGTAAACAGTGCTCCGAGGCAGTCTTATAAACCTCCAGTAGATTCGTGAGAGGATAGTGGAATGCTGGTGTGAGATGGTGGTGTGAGTGGTGTGTTAGTGATGGTGGCTAACAGCTTGTTCCGGGCTGGTGTGCCCGCCCTGTGATGACCCCAACACCGCCCGCCGCCCTCACAACCAGGAGAAGGGGCCGGGCCCCTATTGGGTGGCCCTGGGCCGGACCCCCATGTGCTGGTGGTCGCCGCGAGCCCCAGGGAACGTGATGCGTGAGATTGGAGACAGTGGGCGTTGCAACGGCGGACCAGCGGCGCCCCGGGAGCTTAGCGGCGGCGTGGGCGGCGGTGCGGGGGACGCTCCAGGTGGGCAGCAGCTGGGACAAGACGACCCCGAGGAGACCACGCCCCTCACTCTCCTGGCCGGGGACCCCCCTGACAAAGACCTGACCGACATCAACAGCCTCCTGGACAACATCCACAAGCTGGGGGGCCGCGGGGACAGCATCCCCCTGCGGTCCTTCACACCTGGACCTGACGTAGAGACCACCACCCCGCGCCGCCACACGCCCGTCTCCCAGACCAGGGCTTCGCACAGCCGCAAGCCCAGTACTTCTTCTTCTGATGAGATCATCGAGGTTGAACCCCGTGCGGCCGCTCAAGTAAGTAAATCCTTTCTTTTATTACCTAAATAATACTTGCATGTGTTGGTAGCGCACTCAGCTCACACAATGAGGTCCGTGGTTCGATCCCCGGTACGGGTGGAAACATTTGGGCTTGTTTCCTTTAGACACCTGCTGTTCCTGTTCACCTAGCAGTAAGTATCAGGGTGTTAGCCAACTGGTGTGGGTCGCATCCTGGGGACAAAATTAACCAAGATTGGCCAAAATGCTTTGCATAACCAGGGGCTTTCTATATAGCATGTTACTGATGTCTGATATGGTCTATATTAAATTGAATTATGTACTTGTAGAAATAAATATTATTATTATTATTATTATTATTATTATTATTATTATTTTTATTATTATTATTATTTTATTATTATTAATTATTATTATTTTATTATTATTATTATTATTATTATTATTATTATTATTATTATTACATTAACATCCACATACACTTACATACATGTACTCACCTAGTTGAGGTTGCAGGGGTCGAGTCACAGTTCCTGGGGCCCCCTCTTCACTGGTCACTACTAGGTCACTTTTGCTGCTCCATGACCTTTATCATTACATTACTACATTATCACCCACTTACATCTACATGTGTACATTAACAAACATACACCTACATGTGTACATTACTACATTATCACCCACTAACACCAACATGTGTACATTACTACATTAGCACCCACATACATCTACATTAACACCTACATCTCTACATACACCCTACATACCTACATCTATGTGTACATTATTACGTTACCACGCACATACACCTAAATATTCTCCGTGGTATGTCCGCTTCTTTAGTGGTGGATCTTGCATTTCCTAGTTCACCGAAGGTTCTGAGAATGACAACAAACAGTAAGTGTCCCTGACTCAGGTGCAGGTGGTCGAGGTTATGAAGCAGGTGACGGTGAGCTTCCATCCAGTGCCCCTGACTCAGGTGCAGGTGGTCGAGGTTATGAAGCAGGTGACGGTGAGCTTCCACCCAGCTCCCCTGACTCAGGTGCAGGTGGTCGAGGTTATGAAGCAGGTGACGGTGAGCTTCCATCCAGCTCCTCTGACTCAGGTGCAGGTGGTCGAGGTTATGAAGCAGGTGACGGTGAGCTTCCACCCAGCTCCCCTGACTCAGGTGCAGGTGGTCGAGGTTATGAAGCAGGTGACGGTGAGCTTCCACCCAGCTCCCCTGACTCAGGTGCAGGTGGTCGAGGTTATGAAGCAGGTGACGGTGAGCTTCCACCCAGCTCCCCTGACTCAGGTGCAGGTGGTCGAGGTTATGAAGCAGGTGACGGTGAGCTTCCACCAGCTCCCTGACTCAGGTGCAGGTGGTCGAGGTTATGAAGCAGGTGACGGTGAGCTTCCACCCAGCTCCCCTGACTCAGGTGCAGGTGGTCGAGGTTATGAAGCAGGTGACAGTGAGCTTCCACCCAGCTCCCCTGACTCAGGTGCAGGTGGTCGAGGTTATGAAGCAGGTGACGGTGAGCTTCCACCCAGCTCCCCTGACTCAGGTGCAGGTGGTCGAGGTTATGAAGCAGGTGACGGTGAGCTTCCACCCAGCTCCCCTGACTCAGGTGCAGGTGGTCGAGGTTATGAAGCAGGTGACGGTGAGCTTCCACCCAGCTCCCCTGACTCAGGTGCAGGTGGTCGAGGTTATGAAGCAGGTGACGGTGAGCTTCCACCCAGCTCCCCTGACTCAGGTGCAGGTGGTCGAGGTTATGAAGCAGGTGACAGTGAGCTTCCACCCAGCTCCCTGACTCAGGTGCAGGTGGTCGAGGTTATGAAGCAGGTGACGGTGAGCTTCCACCAGCTCCCCTGACTCAGGTGCAGGTGGTCGAGGTTATGAAGCAGGTGACAGTGAGCTTCCACCCAGCTCCTGACTCAGGTGCAGGTGGTCGAGGTTATGAAGCAGGTGACAGTGAGCTTCCACCCAGCTCCCCTGACTCAGGTGCAGGTGGTCGAGGTTATGAAGCAGGTGACAGTGAGCTTCCACCCAGCTCCCCTGACTCAGGTGCAGGTGGTCGAGGTTATGAAGCAGGTGACAGTGAGCTTCCACCCAGCTCCCCTGACTCAGGTGCAGGTGGTCGAGGTTATGAAGCAGGTGACAGTGAGCTTCCACCCAGCTCCCCTGACTCAGGTGCAGGTGGTCGAGGTTATGAAGCAGGTGACGGTGAGCTTCCACCCAGCTCCTCATCAGCCTCATCATTCACTTAATGTCCAGGTCCAGGTCTTTCACTCATTTCCGCCGGACAAAATGCCTGATCCACCTCACCAGCCTCACTCTCACACATTCGTTTCTCTCTCTCTCTCTCTCTCTCTCTCTCTCTCTCTCTCTCTCTCTCTCTCTCTCTCTCTCTCTCTCTCTCTCTCTCTTCTCTTTTTTTTACACAGGGTTTGACAAGGTTAAGGATCCCTAGCTTTATTGACAAGCTATTTACAGGTTGAGGATTCCTACATCAGCTCATTTGAAAGCATTTTTATTGTTATGAGACATACAAGTAGGGAACAGGATGAAGTTGGAGCCATCTGTGGGCCAGCATTTTCATTTGATCAACTGACTTTATCTCGTTGACATCATTATGCTGTACGAATGTGTTCCATACTCGAGTCATCCTGGGTATATATGATCTCAGATGGAGTGATGTTCTGGAGAAGGGTGCAGCCAGAGTGAAGTTGCAGCTTTCTGCCCGTCTTGTGGCATAAAAGCTTGTTTCACGCTGTCCTCGAAGTGGATCCAAGTGTGGTACTTTGACAATATTGGCCTTGTACATAACAGTAAGGCCACCCACATCCCTCCTATGTTGAAGGCTCTGCTGAAATGACAGATCTATCCAGGATGGGTCTAGGCGAGAGATGAGACGTCTTGCTCTGTTCTCCACTCTGTCAAGCAGTCGTAGATGAGGGGGGGGGGGCAAGCAAACCAAGAAAGTGGAGCATACTCAAGGTGTGAGCGTACTTGTGCCTCGTACAGAATCTTGCAACCCCTACTGTCAAGCAGATGCGAGATACGGCGAAGTGCTGTAAGCTTCCTGGCTGCCTTGTTTGCTAGATTCACAACATGGTTCTTCATGGTTAGTTTGGAGTCAAATTTCACCCTAGGATATCAACTTCTTCTCCAGGTGCCAACACCCTCCCATTCATCCTTACTACTGCACCATCATTACCATCATAGTGCCTAGAGACGATCATCATTTGCGTTTTCTCAGGTGCAAATGTTACTTGCCATCTATTTTCCCAAGCTGATATAGCTCTTAGCTGGTGATTGATGTAGCTTAGAGCAGCTGGCATTTCTTCTCTTGGATAAGTGAATGTCAGTGTACAGACGTCTGCATATGCATGTGATTCTGGGATGAGATGAAGAAGGTCGTTGAAGTAGACATTCCATAACAATGGACCCAGCACGCTTCCTTGTGGAACACTTGCCCCAATAGGATGTCTTGCTGATTCCGTTCCATTGAGAATTACACTTAGAGATCTACCATGAAGGTAATCACTGAGGAGACATACACCCAGTTTTTCATCAGTTGTAATTTACCATACACAAGTTTTACAAGGGTTACACCAGGTTTTCCTTCATATATTTTACAACAACTGACATACTTCCTTCGATCATGTAAATACCTGACTTTAGCGGTGTTTTACTACAGTTTATTTTTAAGCTTGTAGTGGACCGCAGTATCAAGTCGCTACATGACTTGGAGTCTATCTACCTGGAGTCTACCTGCAGGGTGTTCCGGGGGTCAAGGCCCCCACGTCCCGATCCTTGACCAGGCCTCCCGGTGGATCAGGGCCTGATCAACCACTCTGTTGCTGCTGGCCCCATGTAGTCCAGCATGCTGTCACCTGTGTGTCAAAGATTTCGCTTGGCGGGTTAAACTCTTTGATGTCCGTCTGTTGTGGGGTTTGATTATGCGGGTTCGAGCCCTTTCCTGGTCCAAGAGAGACGGCACAGACACACATAGATACTCACACACACACACACACCTTATCTTTTGTTTGTTGATTTTATTCTTGTTTTTTATTGTTTTGATAAATTTTTTTACGGCTATGAACGCCGTGTGACGAACGCGTCAGTGTGAACGCTGCGTGACGAACGCGTCAGTGTGAACGCTGCGTGACCAACACGTCAGTGTGAACGCCGCGTGACGAACGCGTCAGTGTGAACGCCGCGTGACGAACGCGTCAGTGTGAAAGTCGCGTGACGAACGCGTCAGTGTGAACGCCGCGTGACGAACGCGTCAGTGTGAACGCTGCGTGACCAACACGTCAGTGTGATCGCCGCGTGACGAACGCGTCAGTGTGAACGCTGCGTGACCAACACGTCAGTGTGAACGCTGCGTGACCAACACGTCAGTGTGAACGCTGCGTGACCAACACGTCAGTGTGAACGCTGCGTGACCAACGCGTCAGTGTGAACGCTGCGTGACCAACGCGTCAGTGTGAACGCTGCGTGACCAACACAGTGTGAACGCTGCGTGACCAACACAGTGTGAAAGCTGCGTGACCAACGCATCAGTGTGAACGCTGCGTGACCAACACGTCAGTGTGAACGCTGCGTGACCAACACGTCAGTGTGAACGCTGCGTGACCAACACGTCAGTGTGAACGCTGCGTGACCAACACAGTGTGAACGCTGCGTGACCAACACGTCAGTGTGAACGCTGCGTGACCAACACGTCAGTGTGAACGCTGCGTGACCAACACGTCAGTTCTCCGGAAATGTTACAACAACTACCCTATTCCTCTAAGACCATTTTGTCAACAGTGTCCTTTTAACATGGCCTGCTGCCCTGGTCTGGCTTCCGGTTACTTTAAGTGTGAATATGGTGGTAAATAATACCACCGACAAGTTGATAATTAAGATAAATGACTGAAGTGTCAAAGAGCGTCGGCCACTCTAGTGAGAAGCCTACTATGTAGGCGAAACGTTTCGGAATAAAGATTCATATATTTTGACCAAGTGTCTTAATGCTCAGTAATAACCCACGTGGAGACAGAAACTCATTAGATCAATTAATCTCCTGAATTCCTGTCTCTATGTGTGTTATTATTGAGCATTAAGACACCTGGTTAAAATTAAGGAATCTTT